TGCCTGCAAAAACAAAGGATTAGACTTAGAGAAAAAGCCGAATAAAAGAAAGATCAAATAAACACAAGGAGTTACACGGCAACCTGGTTCACCCCTCCGTCTGGGAATAGGGTCTAGGCGATCTTCGCCTTCGCCGAATTCCCAGTTACCTCGGATATTGACCATTACATCGTCAACTCGTTTGCCAAAGCTAGCAAGCATGGTAACCAAGTGATGGTTGGTGTCCTTGGCTCTAAGAAAGTAGTGCCCAAGCCAACCGGAGGATTTGGCTAAAGTGTAGCAATGCCGAATCGTCGGAATGCCAAGGTTGATCCTAAGGCGCCGGTTCAGCTCTATGATTCCCATTATGATTCAAAAAAAATTCAAATTGGGTTGGGAAGGAATCAGACCCCAATGGCGGAGGACGGCCCCAAGAAATGGGTGTAGGGGAAAGCGAACTCCGCCCTCCGCAATGGACATGAGAGGAAAGACGATTGTATTGTGGTCATCCCTCTTCATATCAAGAGTATTGTCCGTCACTAGAGATAGATGGACATCATCAGGGATAGAAAAATGTCGTCGAAACCCAGAAATACGACCCTTGGAAAGGAGGTCTTTCAAATGCTTTAGCCATTCTGGTAAGGACTCAAGGGTATTCTAAATCAAAAATGAACACGGAAAATAGGATTACAAAGAGAAGAGAAGAAAAGAAAACTTACGAAAGACAAGGAGAGACGGGAAGAAGTTATAGAAGACGTGAGACAGAGGAGAGATACCGGCTGGTAATCCAGGAGGCTCAAATATTCAAAAAAGCGTGCATTCGAAGAGACTGGAGTTTCAAATCATAATAAATGCAAAAGATGCACGAATGAGGCGGGAACGTATAATGATGACCGAGAGGCGTGTGCGTTCTGACATTTACATTGGGATAGGTGAAGCCGCCTAACTCATGTTTCCCTTGACTTTTCAAATTCGAAACCAAACACACCTATTAACTGCCGTCAATGGGGAGTTTGGGGGGCAATTGTGGGAGCCGAATAAATAGCAGAATCAAAAGCGTACGCTCTAGAAGATAGACATTACTCGGCTCTAACCTGCACGATCAGAAGGCCAAATACAATAAATAGGCCGAGTAACTATTGAACTACGGGGCCGAATAAATAAGCGGATAGTGAGCGAAAAGTGGACCAGGTCCCAAGGCCCTGGAAACAAGTATAAATAAAGGAACAACAGTCGAAGAAAGGTATGTGAGAACTAGTATGCTTAACTTAAAATACAAGTAACCCAGAGAGAGTAGAGACTGACTTGTCCATCGGAGTGCTAATTCCGGCAACCCCGACCGGAGTGTTCATTTCTTTTCAGGTGTCTATCTGAGGATCACAAGCGTCTCCCAGGATCAGAAAGTATTTCCAAACCACTTCTCCACACATGTCGTGTTCTATGTTTTTTGAAAATTGACTGAAAATTGCATAACACTATCACATAGCAAACTTGTTTTTGTCTAGCCAATGTTCAATTGGTGTAAAATGGTGATCGGGGTGAGCCCCAACATGAATAAAATAAGGGAAGGTTTGGTGTGCAAATTTGTATTGTTTTTTTTTTTTTTTTTTTTTTTTTTTAAATATATATATATATTCTATATATTCTAGTGGGATGAATGATGAGTTGTATGAAACGATGGGAACAAGTCCATGTGGGTTAGGGAATGGCGATGATAATGTGTTGTGGGTGGTGGAAAAAGTAAAGTGAGAGAGAGACACACTGTAACATATTAACATAGTTTATCTTAGGTTTACCGGCACATTCCTTTTCTGAAGATATGCATTCCAGCTCAAACCACTTCAAATAATTCACAAATCTCATCATCACCTCACGTGATAAGAAGACAAATTTGCAGCTGTAACACTGCCCAACGTGGGTGAACAGTTGGTTGATAAAAGTCCTTTGGTGAAGTGATGGCGAATCATCCTCACTCTTGAGCCCCTCCATTACACCAACTTTGGTACCGTTTACCTTGGAAGGGGCTTGTGCATTGGCCTTAACCTGCAAACCCCCAGTGGCAGCAGATTTTGATTTAATCCCTCGTGCATCCACATTTGCTGGAGGTCCTCCAAGCTTGCTGGATGTCTTGGCACCAGAATCGGGTGGAGGAGATGCAACTGGAAAAAATGCAGAAGTAGCGGCGGTAGCAACCATTATGAAAAATCTATCACCAAGCTGAGAAGAATCTGGAAGAGCACGGTAGAAAACGTCAGAAATTGGATGTTTTGGTGGCAGATTCGAAGCTGTCTGAGTGCGGAAAAGCAGTTGAGAATTGCGTGATTAGTGAAGGTCGTTTGGTGGAGAACGGTGAATCAGAGACGACGTCTGCGAAACAGTGTGCATCTCCGACTTCAAATGTGACAAACGAGCCTGAGGTGGCTCAGAAATGCCCTAAGTTAGGCATGACTTCTGTGCGTGGAAGGAGGAGAGATATGGAAGACGCTGTGGCCATTCACCCCTTGCTTTGCCGCCGGAGTAGTCAGAATCCGGCGGATTTGCATTTTTTCGGCGTTTACGACGGCCACTGTTGCTCACATGTGGCGATGAAGTGCAAAGATCGATTGCACGAGATAGTGAGAGATGAGCTCGAAAGCCACGAAGAAGATTCGTGGAAGAAAATGATGGAGCGAAGTTTCTTTTCTTGCAGAGTTACGGCTGTGGAGAGTGAATCTTAATTTCCGCAAGGACTGCGTCGTCAGCCGAGGTCAGAATCTTCTTCAACTTATTGCCTGCAAAAACAAAGGATTAGACTTAGAGAAAAAGCCGAATAAAAGAAAGATCAATTGTAATAAATAATGTATAGAGAAAGAGAGAGAATAAATTGTATGTATTATTGATTCTTGTATTTGATTTTGTATTCTGTCTATTACAAATGGTTCCTTATATAGATGTAGGTGTAGTGGATGGTGGTAGTGGTGTAGTGGGTTAGGTTTAGTGGAGTAGGTGAGGTGGTAGTGGTGTAGTGGGTTAGGTTTAGTGGAGTAGGTGAGGTGGTAGTGGTGGTAGGTGATGGTAAATTCTAACATCAATAAACACAAGGAGTTACACGGCAACCTGGTTCACCCCTCCGTCTGGGAATAGGGTCTAGACGATCTTCGCCTTCGCCGAATTCCCAGTTACCTCGGACATTGACCATTACATCGTCAACTCGTTTGCCAAAGCTGGCAAGCATGGTTACCAAGTGATGGTTGGTGTCCTTGGCCCTAAGAAAGTAGTGCCTGAGCCAACCGGAGGATTTGGCTAAAGTGTAGCAGTGCCGAATCGTCGGAATGCCAAGGTTGATCCTAAGGCGCCGGTTCAGCTCTATGATTCCCATTATGATTCGAAAAAAATTCAAATTGGGTTGGGAAGGAATCAGACCCCAATGGTGGAGGACGGCCCCAAGAAATGGGTGTAGGGGAAAGCGAACTCCGCCCTCCGCAATGGACATGAGAGGAAAGACGATTGTATTGTGGTCAGCCCTCTTCATATCAAGAGTATTGTCTGTCACTAGAGATAGATGGACATCATCAGGGATAGAAAAATGTCGTCGAAACCCAGAAATACGATCCTCGGAAAGGAGGTCTTTCAAATGCTTTAGCCATTCTGGTAAGGACTCAAGGGTATTCTAAATCAAAAATGAACACGGAAAATAGGATTACAAAGAGAAGAGAAGAAAAGAAAACTTACGAAAGACAAGGAGAGACGGGAAGAAGTTATAGAAGACGTGAGACAGAGGAGAGATACCGGCTGGTAATCCAGGAGGCTCAAATATTCAAAAAAGCGTGCATTCGAAGAGACTGGAGTTTCAAATCATAATAAATGCAAAAGATGCACGAATGAGGCGGGAACGTATAATGATGACCGAGAGGCGTGTGCGTTCTGACATTTACATTGGGATAGGTGAAGCCGCCTAACTCATGTTTCCCTTGACTTTTCAAATTCGAAACCAAACACACCTATTAACTGCCGTCAATGGGGAGTTTGGGGGGCAATTGTGGGAGCCGAATAAATAGCAGAATCAAAAGCGTACGCTCTAGAAGATAGACATTACTCGGCTCTAACCTGCACGATCAGAAGGCCAAATACAATAAATAGGCCGAGTAACTATTGAACTACGGGGCCGAATAAATAAGCGGATAGTGAGCGAAAAGTGGACCAGGTCCCAAGGCCCTGGAAACGAGTATAAATAAAGGAACAACAGTCGAAGAAAGGTATGTGAGAACTAGTATGCTTAACTTAAAATACAAGTAACCCAGAGAGAGTAGAGATTGACTTGTCCATCAGAGTGCTAATTCCGGCACCCCTGACCGGAGTGTTCATTTCTTTTCAGGTGTCTATCTGAGGATCACGAGCGTCTCCCAGGATTAGAAGAGTATTTCCAAACCACTTCTCCACACATGTCGTGTTCTATGTTTTTTGAAAATTGACTGAAAATTTCATAACACTATCACATAGCAAACTTGTTTTTGTCTAGCCAATGTTCAACACACATGGTATCCCATTATATGGTGTAGCATTTACTCTTTGACTGATGTATAGGAAATCACTTCATTGGTTCTCCCATTATACATGCATAGTATGGCATTTACTCTTTGACTAGAATACCGGAGATTACTTCATTGGTTCTCCCATTATACATGCAATAAAGGCAGAGGCACTTATATATATTTATTTGCAAGTCTATTTGTTCCAAACAACATGTACAAAACTACATATATAGATTTGTTGCCACGTATAGTCTTCAGCTGTTGCCATGTCTCAACCCTCATGTAGGAGAACATTTTTATTAGTTTTCAAAGTTAATAATGTCTATTTAAGTGGTTTTTCATTCATTTTTTGGTTGTGAAGTAGAGTGTAACAGAATTGAACATATTCTTCTGCGTTCTTTTATGATGTCTTCAAGGAATCAAGGACTTGATCTCCCCTTCCTCTTCTCTTTCCCATTCTTTCTGGATATATAATTACTAAAATGTTAATATCTTAAAATTTTGAAATAGAGAGAAGGACTTGGATGAAGTATTGCAGTCACAAACTGTTTATTCAAATGTTTCGAAGGGGGTTCTTGCCAAGTCAAAAGATTTAGTAGCAGCTTTTGGGACAGATGATCAGACAAATATATGCTTGGAGGTCAGTTTTAAGCTTTGTTACTTACATTTGGAATATGTCACTGTGTGATAGACTATTCTGTGGCAGTGGCTTGTGTGGGTTAACTTGACAAGTTCTTTAAGTAAATTTATTATTATTATTTGTTGAAAAAAAGTGGTGGTTAACTGATGTACCTCAATTTGGAATAGATTTTGGACAAAGGAGAGCTACAAGTTGCTGGAAAGGAAAGGGATTCTCAATTATCGAGTCAGTTTCGGGATATTGCTACCATAGTTATGCAGAAGACTATTAACCCTGAGACTCAACACCCTTATACTATTAGCATGATTGAGCGTCTGATGCATGAAATCCATTTTGCGGTTGATCCCCATAGTAGCTCAAAAAAACAGGTGAGTTCATTTGTTTGGTTGTAGATTGACAAGAGATTTATGGGTTTCTGAGTATTAGCGAATTTTCTGCTCAGCATTGATCTGTGTTAAGTACTCTCAAATTGTTCTAAGAAAGCAGTTGTATATTAATAAGCTTACAGTTTTATATTGGAGACAATGGTTTAACCTAAGCAGGTTAGCTTCGATTGCCTTTCGAGTAGGCTTTGATCGCACACCTAGTGGAATGAAAAACTAACATCTAGACCTAAAACTTGCTCGAGGGTAGATCTAGCGGGACCTTACTGGATTTTTTCCAATAAATAAAAGATGCTTCAGCTTAAGTTGGAGTCTAGCCCACTTCAGGTAGGAGCTTTCTAGAGTTGCAACTTTAAACATTATGTACTTCAGCTAACTGTTTGTCTTTTACAGTCGCTAGATGTTATTCGGGAGCTTCAAAAGCACTTACCTATAAAACTATCTCCAATGAGGCTACGGTTGTATGTCCCAGAACAAAAATTTTCTTCTCTTTCGGAGAAGCTCAATGATTGGACCGCTAGTATTGTATCGAAAGATGAATCTGGAAGTCAGCTCTCTATTGTAAGTGTGAGACATGGGCCCCTAAGGGCACAATCTTATTTAAAGTAGTTTAAATTTTATACTATGATTTAGCTATTTTTCTCATCCTTGCTTAAATAGTTGGTGTTAGCTTGGTTGTTTCTTTAGTGCCTATCAAGTTTTGACATAGGGTTTACTTGCCTTCTTACATGGCAAATTCAACCAGTGATCTTCTTCTTTTGACTTGGCATAAGTGTGGTTATGTATCAGAGGAGCAAACTCACAGCTTAATCTTGGACTGAACTTTTATGGTCAATTACTCTTTTAGTTTATCATTTGATCATTTGATCATTTGATTGATATTCATGTAGTCGATGCTTATCTGGCTGGGTGAACTAGTGAACGCATTTAACCATGGAAACAACATAATTCATTTATGTTTTTGCAACAGTTGATCACTCCAGTTGTTATAATGATTGCTTTGTTCATTGCAAACTCACATGGGAAACCTTTATGTATTTAAAGTAGACCTTACGGGTTGAGTACTATCACCAATTTACTCATATACACAGAGCCCCTTGGAAATAATCTCTCTGTACAGTGGTAACATCCTGCTGTCAGTGTGTGAGAAAGGAATGACATATGCAACTAATAGAATCAATTCCAACTTTGTCAATTAGGATGATCAGCTGAGTTTATATAGAAAAACCATAGTTTGACCAGTGGTAGTTGTGGTTAATGTCTTGGTTTAGATAGTGTTTAGTTATTCTAGTAAGCATGTCCTGGTTCCTTTGGGTAGCATCATGCTATTGGTGGTGTTGTGTAATTGTGATATGTAATATCACCTAGTCCTGGAGGCAATGGTTTTAGATGTAATTGTGATATTTAATGCCAGTAAATCTTCAAAATAAGTAATTGTTTTCATAGGACCAATACAATTTTGTCCATTTATGAGGTACCATAAACAACGAAGTGTATGTTGAAAATTATATATTGAATTTACTTGGAACTCTCCGAATCTGAATTCTGTGAGATCTGAGATTCTTTGTTACTTGTCAAAACTTAGCACTTCAAATATATATATATGTATACACACCTTACCTTGTTTTATAGATAGATGTAAAATATCAATGTTCTCTAGAGCTTGAGAAGTTCTAATTATTGAAATAGGGATGATGATTTTGAATTATTGCAATTGGAAATATACGTTTATCACTAAGGCCATTTTGTTTTCCATTTTTTTTTTTTAAAATGTATTTAATCTTTTGTGAAATTATATATAGTTTGAAGATACATTAATAAAAGATAGTATTGAAATAGAAGGATTTTTCTTATTTGTTATACATGATGTTGCTGTCTATGATCTAATCTATGTAGAGGCTGACTTTATTTGGATATGAAGATCCTTTTTTATTGGTTTTATTTTACTGTGTGTTTGATGAACTTCTAATAGGCTAGCCAGCTTTAGTGAGCTGCATTGTAATCTTCATAGGTAACACGGTGTTATCTCATGTGCAGATTTGATCATGACCTTGTTATTCCCTTTTCTGGTGCTTAACATTCTACTTGATTGTTGTGCAGACCTGTGAAATGGACCCTGGTTTTTTCCGGGAGTGTGATGCCTTTGTGAGGAATCTGCAGGGCAGGTTGGAAATTCTTGCAATCTCCGTACATGTGGAAGGGGATGATACCCACGTTGATCATTACGATGATCATGAAGACATGCCACCACCAAGCCTGCCCAAGGAAACTACAGATTCTGTGGCCCAAATAAGTGAGAGAGTACAAAAGCAGACCATCTCTGCGAAAAGTGGGAATTCTGAGGGTGGCGTAAAGCAAAATAAGTGTACCACATGCAATGCCCTTGTGGGGGATGCGAAGCAGTACAGAGAGCACTTCAAGAGTGATTGGCACAAGCATAACCTAAGGCGCAAGACTAGGCAACTTCCCCCCCTGACTGCAGAAGAGTGCATGGCTGACATGGATATGGGTGACTCAAAGTCCGATTTGAAGGAGTACTCGTTTTAAGTGAGATTTTCAGCCTCTTTTGGTGGGTTGAGTTTCACTACTTTCTCTCTATGCACGCAAATATATGCGTTCTTGTTTGTGAATGATTCCAAACTACAACACTAGCTGGCAAATTTTTAGCAAAAGTAGGGTATCAAATTTTGTCTATTATCATTTGAAATACCTTACGAACTTTGGTTTTAGGAACTTTCCTAAATGGATGATATGGAAATGGATTGTGATTTGCTATAATCTTCTAGTTGATGGGTCCTAAATTTTATGGTCAAGTGCAAACTGGCCGGGGTGATCATAAGCTTCTGTGAGTGCTGATTAGTTTCCGTTAGGTGTTTCATGTTATTATTAATTGTTGGGAGGTGTTAATTATACCAGCAAAAAATCTTTACACCCTGTAAAATAATTTTTTCCTGTAAGGTAATCTTTAGAAGTTTACCCTTGTAGTCGATGAGTGTTCATCAACTTGGTATTTGTTTGAGCTTAAATTTACTGGGACACATCTTGTGATGGTTCTTGTCCTTTTTACTTGATTTTGTGCACCATTCATATGATCATGAACAAATCCAACAATGTAGAAGTAAATTATTGGGTTCACACTTGACCTTGAATGAAGTAGTCGCCTTGAGTACTGAGATGTAGGGCCTATAATCTGTGGAATTTTTTTCATTTTTTTAATGGTCTGTGGTATTTATTTTCATTATTACTTAAATGTCATGAATTTTATTTGTGTTATGACTCATTGGGATTACTAACAAAATTCATCACAAAATCATAATTATGACATAATATGATTGGTGACAATTTTAAGTTTTTTTTTTTTTTGGAAAATGATAGGATGTTAGGCTTCGTTTGAGAATATGTTATTTTAGTAACTTACGAATTTTTTGGCTAAAATATGAGGGAAAAAAAACTAATTTGGTTTTAGTTTTTTGAATTCAGTTTTTTGAAAATTGTGTTTTTTGTTTTTTTTATTTTTATTTTTAGCGAATATTTTTAAAATTTTAAGCATTTTTTTTTTTATACTTTTTTAGATGCATTTTTATTGATAAGTCCAATTTAAAAGTGTTTTAATCCAAGAAGTCTATGAAGGAATTTTTTAACTCATTTAGTTCCATGTATGTATAGTTTTATTTCATAAAGTCCATTTTCTTGATTTACACTATTTTCTTGGACACTTATGCCCTTATATTTAATTTTGATACCCTTATAAATATTTGTTCAACGATTAGCAATTTAATGATGTGAACACTCATATTTTAAAATTCACATTTGTAGGAATGTAAATTGGCCCGTGGGCGGCCCGAAACCCGCCCGCGAGCCAAGGCGGGCCTGGCCCGTTGACAATGTGAATATTTACATTGACATGTTAAAATTCACATTAATAGGAGTGTAAAATTGGCCCCCGTCCCGTGGCGGCGCGAAACCCCCCGCGGCCCAAGGCGGGCCCGGTCCGGCCCGTTGACAATGTGAATATTCATATTGACATGTTAACATTCACATTGATAAGAGCATAAAATTGGGCCGCGGCCCATGGGAGGCCAAAAGCCAGCCCACAGCCCAGGGCGGGCCCGGCCCGGCCCGGCCCGTTGACAATGTGAATATTCACATTGACATGTTAACATTCACATTGATAGGAGTGTAAAATTAGCCCGCGCCTCGTAGCTGCCCGAAACCCGTCCACGGCCCGTGGACGGACCCGGCCCAGCCTGTTGACAATGTGAATGTTCACATTGACATGTTAATATTCACATTAATAAGAGTATAAAACTAGACAGCAGCCCAGGGCGGGCCCGACTCGGCCCGGCCCGGCCCGTTGACAATGTGAATATTCACATTGACATGTTAACATGCACATTGATAGGAGTATAAAATTAGCCCGCGCCCTATGGCTGCCCGAAACCCGTCCACGGCCCGGCCTGTTGACAATGTGAATATTCACATTGACATGTTAATATTCACATTGATAAGAGTGTACAATTGGCCCGTGACCCGTGGGCAGTCCGAAGCCCGACCTCGGGCCAAGGCGGGCCCGGCCCATTGGCAATGTGAATATTCACATTGACATGTTAACATGCACATTGATAGGAGTGTAAAATTAGCCCGCGTCCCGTGGCTACCCGAAACCCGTCCACGGCCCGTGGGCGGCCCGGGGCAGGCCCGGCCTGGCCTGTTGACAATGTGAATATTCACATTGACATGTTAACATTCACATTGATAAGAGTGTACAATTGACTCGCGTCCCATGGGCGGCCTAGGGCGAGCCCGGTCCGGCCCGTTGACAATGTGAATATTCACATTGACATATTGTGTAATTGTAACATAGTATGTATTATATTAATGTTTGGAATTGAATAAGAATAACAATGCAATTCATGATTACCTAAGAGTCACATTCTCCAAATTAAACAGGAATTTGATCCCGCACGCCTAGAGGAATTTGGAGTAAAAAAAGTTAATTGAGCCCATAATCTTTAAATTTTTATTATTTTTGGATAAAAAATTTCTAGTCAAGCCAAACACATTAACAGCAATTCACACTAAAACTTTATTTCTAATGATGTGAATTCTGTCAACTAAACATAGCTCACGACATTGAAAATTTTCTTGCCCAAACACTCCTAAAAGAAATTGAAGAAAGGAAAATGTTTGGAATCCCCACAAATGAGGACTTTCACAACCCCTACTGATGTATTGACCATTGATGTGTTTGAATTTTTTTAAAAAATTGTGTTTCACAGTGACATAAATGGTTCAAATCATTTTAAGAGTTGTGAGGTTGTGTTTTGTGGAGGTCTCTATCACTATTATCGAAGAAAAAAATGCCTATAGTTGAATGGTGTCAGCCCCATATCACGTGGGCTGGGAATTCTATTTCCAAATGTCCCCGTTTCCCTAATCCCAAAACATACATTCTACAGATTCTGACATAACTTTTGAAATTCTGACATAATTTTCAAAAACATCTCCGAAGATTAGATCTATCTCGACATTTTCATATTTTGAAATTGTAGCATTGTCCAATAGTAAATGCCTTGAGATTCTCTCATTTTAAATTCTGACATGATCATGATCCAATAGTTATAAATACTTTCCAACAGAAACACTAACTAGAGACACAATCCTTGGTCTAATAGTTGTAAATACTCTTTATCTAAAAAAATGTTCGTTGTAAATATTCTAGTCCTTGGATCTCCTCATTAGTGTGTAATGAATGGTTGCAATTCAAAGCTCCATATGATATGGATGAGGTATGATAAGGACAAGGAAATTTATGGTACGTCACACAGAATTTATGGTTTGTAACTTATACAGTCAAGTAATACTGTGCCTCACGAAGCTATCCAAGTCTTTTTTATACAAAGACGGTTAGTATGTCAATCTAGTTAGATTACAACTAAAGAAATTCGCCGTTACTCTATGAGCTCGAACTTCTCACGACACCCCCAAAAGTATGGCTATTAGACCATGCCAATGCTGAAATATAATATGATACTGCGTTTGAAAACCACCACCCAAAGAAAAAGGGCAAAAAAATTCAGGCAACATCATATAACCGCGGAAAATCAATTCCGGAAGCTTTCAAAAGTTCTACATTAAATTTTGTCCAAACCAACCTTAGAAATATATACACTCACGTGAGAGAGAGAGAAGGGGGTAGAGAGACATTCGCAGATACTCTAGTTTACAAATGGCTCAGCAAAGGGTACACAGGAAGTAGATGTCAGAGAGAGCTCCATCAGGCAATAGTGACTCCCTGAATTTCCCAATTCCGAGGCTGTTAGTTGGTCTAAGCAATCGGAGGAAAACAAAGTTATCAATGATTAAAAAAAAAAAAAAAAGAAAAAAGAAAAACAATATGCTATATGTTTTCCTTTCCTGAAATTAGTACAGGGGCAGCCTTGACACCGATTCATCGTCCCACTATCTTCATAGGGCCGAAGACAATATTCCGCAATCCCCGCGCTGACCAAGCAGCTGTAACAATAAAGCCTGAAGAACGTTTCAGGGAGATGGCTTCCAATCAAATTGTAGATTATTGAACCCGTTAACAGCTCCAAGACCACTAAGAAGTTGATCCCCCAAAGCCTGTTGATGACTTAAATTCGGGTCTCGAGCCATTGCTGCCATGCTTACCCTTCCACTCATTGCCATTGAGTTATTACCCATTGAAGCTCGGATTCCATTAAGCATAGCCGACTGACCAAGTCCGCTACCCATGCTACCATATCCTGCACCCCCCATTCCTGCATTGCTATTGGCTGTTCCATTTCCCACCAGGCTGTTGCCACCATTAAGACCTGTGCTATTGCTTGTTGGCAACATTCCATTAACATTTTTCACATCATTCCCCAAGGAACCAACACCCACCATACCGCCCCCACCATTCATTTGCGTAGACATCATCATTTCTTGTATGATTTTCTGAACAGAACTCTGGGAATCACTTGGGTCGGCATCACTAGATAGAGCTGGTTGTTGTTGCATGGAGATATTTGGAGAATTTGCAGAACTCATATGAGCTGCAGCTGTTAAGCCGCCATGAGAATTTTGCAGAGCATTGTTGGATGATGACGGTGTCGGTGATTGGAATGGAGAAGGATTGGGTTGAGCATGTGGCATTGTACTTGATGAACCAGGAGAAGGAATCTGAATCCCGCTTCCTCCATATGGACTATTTGCATTGTTCATAGGGTTGGGTTGTCTGGAGTTCATTGAGCTCTGTTGGAGAAGCCCAACAATGGTGCTAGTGGAGGAAGTGGCTGATGCTGAGTTGTGAGAGTTATTTGCATTAGGCACACCATTGCTAGAAGCAGCTTGCATTGCAGTGGCCTGGACGGAGCTTTGATCATTTCTTGAGTTCTGACCCATTGTTTGCTGCTGTGCCTGCTGTTGTAGTTGTTCCTCCAGTTGTTGAGGTTGACCATGAAATCCAGGTGTAGAAATTGTTCTCCGAGGGAACTTGGCCAAGCTCTCTAAGAAAAAACAACGAAAAAATGAAATGGCCATGTGACATTCAGTAACTGCAAGATGTGACTCTCTTTTAAGGCAAAACTAGGTTGCTATGATTCGCAGATACCAAGTCACCCAACAAACCTACTTCTACATAAAACAAATCAAAATGTGACTCCAAGGAATGCTACACTAGTAAGATAAAAATCAATATAGCTACTTGAATACCTCAAACATCATTGCTTGTTTTAAGTGGTGGGATGCTACTTCATAAATTTGATAGCAACACAATCATTCGTTTCCTTTTTCTTACCACTAATACTTCTTCCCAATACTAAAACAAAGCAGTATCTTGACATAGAAATTTTGCTTCACCCCCCAAAATCTCCCCCATAAAAGGCCATTAGATCATGGGTGAGATCTTATTACTATCAAAAAATTTCTATGCAATTGAAATTTAGTCCAACAAGCTTTATAAACTCCACAATATAAGGGTAACAAATAAATCATTATGCCATCACTAGCATAATTAACAGTAAGCAAAAGAAAAAAAAAACAAAAATTTGTCCAAAAACTCTGGCAGTGGTCACACTACCATTTTTTAACCAAAGTCCAGTACTTATGTCAAAACGAGGCTTCTAGCTCTCAAAAATGAACAAAAAAGCATCTAATATTATCTAAATAAATTCTATTTTCAAAGTGTAGATTAGCACTGCAACCCAATTTATGTCATATTAAACATCAGCTAAACAAAAAAACAATGTCTTGCAAAAAATTATCAGATCCAGATCTTTGATCGGTATATTGTTCGAACATGCCTCTAGTAGCTTTTGAAACTTCCTCGCACAATTATTTTCAGAAATAAAAATATCAGTCTTACCCATAGGTCCAGTCGCAGTTTCTCGGCTGTAATCAATCAAATCTTTCATACTATTAACCACTTCAGATATCTGCAATGTACCCAGGAGGAGGGAAAAAAAAAAACAAACAAACAACAAACTTATGTTATCAATCAGGGAGTACACAAAATTTAGCAATACAATTTTTTGCAAGTACATCCCCATGAATCATCATCCCTTATGTGACAAATTTTAATACAATGCTAAAATGGGGAATAAAAAAATAATAATAAAACCAAACATCAAACTCATGGGATAGTTCAAAATTGTATCCACACATAAAGCATTGAAGGCACAAGCACTCCAAGTTAGGGTGTGGTTTATCAATAAAGAGAACATGGTCATGAGTGTGCATATATTTACAAAAGCACCAAGTTAAGAATGAAACGTATTAGTTGAGGCAGTGGAATGGAGTTTTCAGGTAAACTGCTCCACCCACGGGTGGATTGTATGCTTATAATCATGAAGGCCAGTGCTATATACATTGAGCCAACCTATATTAGGTTCATGCCAAGTCTTGATCTTATCACATAGCTCTGGCCTGATAATACCTTTACAACTGCAACTGTTCTGTTTTATGTTTTATTGACAAGTCAAACTGCAATACTACTAGTATGTTCATTTTCCAAGTATACCCAACAACCTTGTCACCATGCAACTGTTGGACACAGAAGATACTTGTAGCATTTTTAAATGGAAACTGAAGAATAAAGTGCACTACCTGAAGACAGCGCACATATCTCTTTGTATATCCAAAATCATTTACTAATGGCACTTCCAACGCTTTTGCCAACTGACGAGCTGATGCAACAAACCTGAGGCAGAATCCAATATATAATAGTTTAAATACATCTGACATGAAATATATGAGGCACAGAATATTCATCACCAACTATAATGTAATGCAAAAACCCATATCTACTACTTCAGAGGTCACTCAGACTGGGGCTCTACTTAGACATTCAAAGATGGATCAAAAGATCTACACCAAACAAAGAGACGAGGGGATAATGTTGGGCTGACAACGAAAGATACATGCACACCTTTCATTGCAACAAAACTCTATAGTTATTGAAAACACCGCTAATCCTTCATGACTAAACATCCCTCTGACCACCTCACTGGATCAAACTAATTGAGTGCAGAAAAATGTAACCATTCACAACACCAATCCTTTGTGAGTAGACATCCCTCTTGACCACCTCACTGGATCAAACTAATTAAGTGCAGAAAAATATGCCATTCATAAACAAAGAAAGTAAGCTTTAACCAGGACACCAGAAAATTTTAGTTGCCAGATACAAACCACTAATAACTTGAACAAAAACCGCATTTGCAACAGTTTTTTCCTCCTATCTGAGCTCCCAAATAAAAAAAATTGTCTTCTAAGAAGCATACGTGTGTGTAATGGCTGGACAACCCAAACCAGGGTTGATCAGATTCACACGTACTTGTATATATGAGCACTAGCTAAGATTACAACCTGTACCATATTTACAAAAAACCCTACAGTAGTCAGTATACTATTACCCTCTTTCAAATTCATATGTCACAACTACAATAATGGAATAAGTTTTTCCTATAGTTTCTCATTTCTGCCATTCAACAGAAGTCATACTTATTCTCCGTCATATTTTCTTCTGTAAATATTTCATTTCAGTTTTATCCTTCTTATCCAAAAGACATACGCCCCCGTCCACATTGTTAGTCCTTTCTAATTAGGGATGTCCCCAAATATCCTCTTTGAAAAGTCAAAAGAATAAAGATTTGTAGTTTTCCGAACTATGAAGCACGGATACTTCAAAAAGGGTGACGTATCCGTATCGGATACTCGGATACCGATACTCCTCGGATACTCGCGGATACGTATCGGATACTTCTTAAAAGTATCGGATACTTCTTAATTAATTTTTTATTAATTTTGAAGTATCGGATACTTAATTTTGAAGTATCGGATACTCGAAGTTACATATTACTTATAATATTTTGTTTAGTTCTTTCATAAGAGGAATATAGTGAGAGCTTAAGTAATAGAATTTGTCAAATTGATGTATCCTTGTTGTCTCTCTCACTTCTCTCTCGCTTTCTCACTCTCTCACGTTTCGTCTCTCTGCTCCCATTCTTTTTTTGGTGTTGGCATGTAAGGATGATGTTTAATTTGCATTTGCATTTGCGAAAATTGCCAGAAATGTAATACTGGGCTCTGATACCATGAAAGATTAGTGAAAGATTAGTTTGAGAGAGTGAGAGAAGTTATAGAGCGAGAGAGAGACTCTGAAATGTTTTGTATATATGTGTTAATTACAAAGGGAATGAAGTCTCTCTTTATAGAGAGAAACATGGGCATTGGATGCCACACTCACCGAAAGCAAAAGCTATACAATTGATTGAGTACCACCGAAAGCAAGCAAAAGCTATACATTTGATAATATAAAGCAAAAGCTATGTAACACTATACAATTAATAATAATAAATTTAAAACTATTCTAACAAACTCACAGCTTAATCTTGGACTGAACTTTTATGGTCAATTACTCTTTTAGTTTATCATTTGATCATTTGATTGATATTCATGTAGTCGATGCTTATCTAGTTGGGTGAACTAGTGAACGCATTTAACCATGGAAATAACATAATTCATTTATGTTTTTGCAACAGTTGATCACTCCAGTTGTTATAATGATTGCTTTGTTCATTGCAAACTCACATGGGAAACCTTTGTGTATTTAAAGTAGACCTTACGGGTTAAGTACTATCATCAATGTACTCATATACACAGAGCCCCTCGGAAATAATCTCTCTACAGTGGTAACATCCTGCTGTCAGTGTGTGAGAAAGGAATGACATATGCAACTAATAGAATCAATTCCAACTTTGTCAATTAGGATGATCAGCTGAGTTTATATAGAAAAACCATAGTTTGACCAGTGGTAGTTGTGGTTAGCAATATCTCAATGTCTTGGTTTAGATAGTGTTTAGTTATTCTAGTAAGCATGTCCTGGTTCCTTTGGGTAGCATCATGCTATTGGTGGTGTTGTGTAATTGTGATATGTAATATCACCTAGTCCTGGAGGCAATGGTTTTAGATGTAATTGTGATATTTAATGCCAGTAAATCTTCAAAATAAGTAATTGTTTTCATAGGACCAATACAATTTTGTCCATTTATGAGGTACCATAAACAACGAAGTGTATGTTGAAAATTATATATTGAATTTACTTGGAACTCTCCGAATCTGAATTCTGTGAGATCTGAGATTCTTTGTTACTTGTCAAAACTTAGCACTTCAAATATATATATATGTATACACACCTTACCTTGTTTTATAGATAGATGTAAAATATCAATGTTCTCTAGAGCTTGAGAAGTTCTAATTATTGAAATAGGGATGATGATTTTGAATTATTGCAATTGGAAATATACGTTTATCACTAAGGCCATTTTGTTTTCCATTTTTTTTTTTTAAAATGTATTTAATCTTTTGTGAAATTATATATAGTTTGAAGATACATTAATAAAAGATAGTATTGAAATAGAAGGATTTTTCTTATTTGTTATACATGATGTTGCTGTCTATGATCTAATCTATGTAGAGGCTGACTTTATTTGGATATGAAGATCCTTTTTTATTGGTTTTATTTTACTGTGTGTTTGATGAACTTCTAATAGGCTAGCCAGCTTTAGTGAGCTGCATTGTAATCTTCATAGGTAACACGGTGTTATCTCATGTGCAGATTTGATCATGACCTTGTTATTCCCTTTTCTGGTGCTTAACATTCTACTTGATTGTTGTGCAGACCTGTGAAATGGACCCTGGTTTTTTCCGGGAGTGTGATGCCTTTGTGAGGAATCTGCAGGGCAGGTTGGAAATTCTTGCAATCTCCGTACATGTGGAAGGGGATGATACCCACGTTGATCATTACGATGATCATGAAGACATGCCACCACCAAGCCTGCCCAAGGAAACTACAGATTCTGTGGCCCAAATAAGTGAGAGAGTACAAAAGCAGACCATCTCTGCGAAAAGTGGGAATTCTGAGGGTGGCGTAAAGCAAAATAAGTGTACCACATGCAATGCCCTTGTGGGGGATGCGAAGCAGTACAGAGAGCACTTCAAGAGTGATTGGCACAAGCATAACCTAAGGCGCAAGACTAGGCAACTTCCCCCCCTGACTGCAGAAGAGTGCATGGCTGACATGGATATGGGTGACTCAAAGTCCGATTTGAAGGAGTACTCGTTTTAAGTGAGATTTTCAGCCTCTTTTGGTGGGTTGAGTTTCACTACTTTCTCTCTATGCACGCAAATATATGCGTTCTTGTTTGTGAATGATTCCAAACTACAACACTAGCTGGCAAATTTTTAGCAAAAGTAGGGTATCAAATTTTGTCTATTATCATTTGAAATACCTTACGAACTTTGGTTTTAGGAACTTTCCTAAATGGATGATATGGAAATGGATTGTGATTTGCTATAATCTTCTAGTTGATGGGTCCTAAATTTTATGGTCAAGTGCAAACTGGCCGGGGTGATCATAAGCTTCTGTGAGTGCTGATTAGTTTCCGTTAGGTGTTTCATGTTATTATTAATTGTTGGGAGGTGTTAATTATACCAGCAAAAAATCTTTACACCCTGTAAAATAATTTTTTCCTGTAAGGTAATCTTTAGAAGTTTACCCTTATGGTGTGTTTGGTTGGAGGATTTAACGAGAGATTTGGAAAGGAAAAGGGAAAAGATGTGTGAAACTAGGTGAAATTTAGGCATGTTTTATTCATATTTCACATACCTTTTTCATTTCCCTTTCTAAATTCCTCCTCAAATCCCTCAACCAAACACAACATTATAGTCGATGAGTGTTCATCAAGTTGGTATTTGTTTGAGCTTAAATTTACTGGGACACATCTTGTGATGGTTCTTGTCCTTTTTACTTGATTTTGTGCACCATTCATATGATCATGAACAAATCCAACAATATAGAAGTAAATTATTGGGTTCACACTTGACCTTGAATGAAGTAGTCGCCTTGAGTACTGAGATGTAGGGCCTATAATCTGTTGAATTTTTTTCATTTTTTTAATGGTCTGTGGTATTTATTTTCATTATTACTTAAATGTCATGAAATTTATTTGTGTTATGACTCATTGGGATTACTAATAAAATTCATCATAAAATCATAATTATGACATAATATGATTGGTGACAATTTTAAGTTTTTTTTTTGGGAAAACGATAGGATGTTAGGCTTCGTTTGAGAATATATTATTTTAGTAACTTTCGAACTTTTTGGCTAAAATATGAGGGGAAAAAAACTAATTTGGTTTCAGTTTTTTGAAAATTGTGTTTTTTATTTTTTGTTTTTTGTTTTTCGTATTTTTTTTATTTTTAGTGAATATTTTTAAAATTTTAAGCAATTTTTTTTTTTTTTACTTTTTTAGATGTATTTTATTTAGATGTATTTAAGTAATAAAATATTTGTGAAAAAATATTTTAAAAAATTAATAATTACACAAAAATACAAAAAATGTATTGAATTTTGTATTTTTTGGTATTTAGTGTATTTTTTAAGTGTATTTTTGTTAGGTGTGTTTAAATTTTTTTAAAAAAATTGTTTAAAATATTAAAAAAATTCATTAAAAATATTAAAATACGAATAATAAAAAAATAATTTTTTTTGAAAATTATTTTCTAAAAATCAGAACCAAACAAGCTGATGTTTGAGATGACTTTTTATGAAAAACATGTAAAAAAATAGAGAGGAAAGAATTTTTTTGATTTTTTTGTATAGTTGACTAAAATCAATGTCACATTATTATTTATGATTTTTATGAATAAAAATTGCATATATTTTTCAGTTATAATCCATTAATTTCATCCACGAGAAATTGAGCACCTAAACACCTCACAATCTTCAGAGTTATCCAATTTTTTTTTTTTTTTTTTTTTTAAAAAAAAAAAAACTAGAAATGCTAGAGAAGAAAAATCATAGAAAACAACCAATAAAGGCCACATGCCCTGTAAAATAGAGAGAGAGAGATGTCAGTGAAGAACTGTTTTCAAGTAAGGACAGTAGCTACTGGCAGAGGTGGTGGTGATGGTGGTGGTGGTGGTGGTGGTGGTGGTGTAAAATTGCACCACCAAAACCATCCATTTTGTTTAAAGGAAATTAAGCTTCATTTGCCAACATGTAGTACTACTAGTAGTAGTAGTACAATATCCTTGTGTTTTGCTCATTCATTCAATCGCAGATCGCGCAACATCATCTGCAAGGCCCGTGAAGCTGTCGATGAAGGTGAAAATCATCTCTCTCGCTCTACATCCACCATCGATGTTTCAAACTTTTTTTTTTTTATATGAAAAGTGCAAGCCTGACTGATTGAGTTTGTCAAAGTTTCTCCCACAAAAAACACTATTTTGAACTCATGACTTTTCGATATTCATTTTGAGTTTGACTGCATTGGTGGTACATTCATGTGAAAGTTTTATTATGTATGTGGATGCAGTCACTCATTGTAGCTGGAACAATCTTGTTATTGCAAGTGAAATGCCCGTACTAGTAGAATTCTGGGCACCGTCGTGCGGACCGTGCCGGATGATAGCACCGGTGGTGGAGGAATTGGCCGGAGAATATGGTGGGAAAATCCAATGCTACAAGCTCAACACCGACGACTGGCCCAACATAGCCATGCAATATGGAATCCAAAGTGTCCCAACGGTGTTGTTCTTCATGGATGGAGAGAGCAAAGAGAGCATCATAGGTGCTGTCCCCAAGTCCACCCTCACTTCTACCATTGAGAAATATTTGAACACTAGTACTACTTGAAGATGAAAGAAAAGAAGACTAGTATTGAGGATACAACCAAAAGTTTTCACTACTTTGGAACAACAACAAACACAAAATGTTCTTCCCAGGGGATTCTTTATTGTGTAATTGTAACATAGTATGTATTATATTAATGTTTGGAATTGAATAAGAATAACAATGCAATTCATGATTACCTAAGAGTCACATTCTCCAAATTAAACAGGAATTTGATCCCGCACGCCTAGAGGAATTTGGAGTAAAAAAAGTTAATTGAGCCCATAATCTTTAAATTTTTATTATTTTTGGATAAAAAATTTCTAGTCAAGCCAAACACATTAACAGCAATTCACACTAAAACTTTATTTCTAATGATGTGAATTCTGTCAACTAAACATAGCTCAAGACATTGAAAATTTTCTTGCCCGAACACTCCTAAAAGAAATTGAAGAAAGGAAAATGTTTGGAATCCCCACAAATGAGGACTTTCACGACCCCTACTGATGTATTGACATTGATGTGTTTGAATTTTTTTTGAAAATCGTGTTTCACAGTGACATAAATGGTTCAGATCATTTTAAGAGTTGTGAGGTTGTGTTTTGTGGAGGTCTCTATCACTATTATCGAAGAAAAAAATGCCTATAGTTGAATGGTGTCAGCCCCATATCACGTGGGCTGGGAATTCTATTTCCAAATGTCCCCGTTTCCCTAATCCCAAAACATACATTCTACAGATTCTGACATAACTTTTGAAATTCTGACATAATTTTCAAAAACATCTCCGAAGATTAGATCTATCTCGACATTTTCATATTTTGAAATTGTAGCATTGTCCAATAGTAAATGCCTTGAGATTCTCTCATTTTAAATTCTGACATGATCATGATCCAATAGTTATAAATACTTTCCAACAGAAACACTAACTAGAGACACAATCCTTGGTCTAATAGTTGTAAATACTCTTTATCTAAAAAAATGTTCGTTGTAAATATTCTAGTCCTTGGATCTCCTCATTAGTGTGTAATGAATGGTTGCAATTCAAAGCTCCATATGATATGGATGAGGTATGATAAGGACAAGGAAATTTAAGGTACGTCACACAGAATTTATGGTTTGTAACTTATACAGTCAAGTAATACTGTGCCTCACGAAGCTATCCAAGTCTTTTTTATACAAAGACGGTTAGTATGTCAATCTAGTTAGATTACAACTAAAGAAATTCGCCGTTACTCTATGAGTTGCTCGAACTTCTCACGACACCCCCAAAGTATGGCTATTAGACCATGCCAATGCTGAAATATAATATGATACTGCGTTTGAAAACCACCACCCAAAGAAAAAGGGCAAAAAAATTCAGGCAACATCATATAACCGCGGAAAATCAATTCCGGAAGCTTTCAAAAGTTCTACATTAAATTTGTCCAAACCAACCTTAGAAATATATACACTCACGTGAGAGAGAGAGAAGGGGGTAGAGAGACATTCGCAGATACTCTAGTTTACAAATGGCTCAGCAAAGGGTACACAGGAAGTAGATGTCAGAGAGAGCTCCATCAGGCAATAGTGACTCCCTGAATTTCCCAATTCCGAGGCTGTTAGTTGGTCTAAGCAATCGGAGGAAAACAAAGTTATCAATGATTAAAAAAAAAACAATACGCTATATGTTTTCCTTTCCTGAAATTAGTACAGAGGGCAGCCTTGACACCGATTCATCGTCCCAGTATCTTCATAGGGCCGAAGACAATATTCCGCAATCCCCGCGCTGACCAAGCAGCTGTAACAATAAAGCCTGAAGAACGTTTCAGGGAGATGGCTTCCAATCAAATTGTAGATTATTGAACCCGTTAACAGCTCCAAGACCACTAAGAAGTTGATCCCCCAAAGCCTGTTGATGACTTAAATTCGGGTCTCGAGCCATTGCTGCCATGCTTACCCTTCCACTCATTGCCATTGAGTTATTACCCATTGAAGCTCGGATTCCATTAAGCATAGCCGACTGACCAAGTCCGCTACCCATGCTACCATATCCTGCACCCCCCATTCCTGCATTGCTATTGGCTGTTCCATTTCCCACCAGGCTGTTGCCACCATTAAGACCTGTGCTATTGCTTGTTGGCAACATTCCATTAACATTTTTCACATCATTCCCCAAGGAACCAACACCCACCATACCGCCCCCACCATTCATTTGCGTAGACATCATCATTTCTTGTATGATTTTCTGAACAGAACTCTGGGAATCACTTGGGTCGGCATCACTAGATAGAGCTGGTTGTTGTTGCATGGAGATATTTGGAGAATTTGCAGAACTCATATGAGCTGCAGCTGTTAAGCCGCCATGAGAATTTTGCAGAGCAGTGTTGGATGATGACGGTGTCGGTGATTGGAATGGAGAAGGATTGGGTTGAGCATGTGGCATTGTACTTGATGAACCAGGAGAAGGAATCTGAATCCCGCTTCCTCCATATGGACTATTTGCATTGTTCATAGGGTTGGGTTGTCTGGAGTTCATTGAGCTCTGTTGGAGAAGCCCAACAATGGTGCTAGTGGAGGAAGTGGTTGATGCTGAGTTGAGAGAGTTATTTGCATTAGGCACACCATTGCTAGAAGCAGCTTGCATTGCAGTGGCCTGGACGGAGCTTTGATCATTTCTTGAGTTCTGACCCATTGTTTGCTGCTGTGCCTGCTGTTGTAGTTGTTCCTCCAGTTGTTGAGGTTGACCATGAAATCCAGGTGTAGAAATTGTTCTCCGAGGGAACTTGGCCAAGCTCTCTAAGAAAAAACAACGAAAAAATGAAATGGCCATGTGACATTCAGTAACTGCAAGATGTGACTCTCTTTTAAGGCAAAACTAGGTTGCTATGATTCGCACATACCAAGTCACCCAACAAGCCTACTTCTACATAAAACAAATCAAAATGTGACTTCAAGGAATGCTACACTAGTAAGATAAAAATCAATATAGCTACTTGAATACCTCAAACATCATTGCTTGTTTTAAGTGGTGGGATGCTACTTCATAAATTTGATAGCAACACAATCATTCGTTTCCTTTTTCTTACCACTAATACTTCTTCCCAATACTAAAACAAGCAGTATCTTGACATAGAAATTTTGCTTCACCCCCCAAATTCTCCCCCATAAAAGGCCATTAGATCATGGGTACTCATCTTATTACTATCAAAAAATTTCTATGCAATTGAAATTTAGTCCAACAAGCTTTATAAACTCCACAATATAAGGGTAACAAATAAATCATTATGCCATCACTAGCATAATTAACAGTAAGCAAAAGAAAAAAAAAACAAAAATTTGTCCAAAAACTCTGGCAGTGGTCACACTACCATTTTTTAACCAAAGTCCAGTACTTATGTCAAAACGAGGCTTCTAGCTCTCAAAAATGAACAAAAAAGCATCTAATATTATCTAAATAAATTCTATTTTCAAAGTGTAGATTAGCACTGCAACCCAATTTATGTCATATTAAACATCAGCTAAACAAAAAAACAATGTCTAAAAAAAAAAAAAAACAAACAAACAAACAAACAAACTTATGTTATCAATCCCTTATGTTACACAAAATTTAGCAATACAATTTTTTGCAACTACATCCCCATGAATCATCATCCCTTATGTGACAAATTTTAATACAATGCTAAAATGGGGAATAAAAAAATAATAATAAAACCAAACATCAAACTCATGGGATAGTTCAAAATTGTATCTACACATAAAGCATTGAACATACAAGCACTCCAAGTTAGGGCGTGGTTTATCAATAAAGAGAACATGGTCATGAGTGTGCATATATTTACAAAAGCACCAAGTTAAGAATGAAACGTATTAATTGAGGTAGTGGAATGGAGTTTTCAGGTAAACTGCTCCACCCACTGGTGGATTGTATGCCTATAATCATGAAGGTCAGTGCTATATACATTGACCCAACCCATATTAGGTTCATGCCAACTCTTGATCTTATCACATAGCTCTGGCCTGATAATACCTTTACAACTGCAACTGTTCTGTTTTATGTTTTATTGACAAGTCAAACTGCAATGGTATTAGTATGTTCATTTTCCAAGTATACCCAACAACCTTGTCACCATGCAACTGTTGGACACAGAAGATACTGGTAGCATTTTTAAATGGAAACTGAAGAATAAAGTGCACTACCTGAAGACAGCGCACATATCTCTTTGTATATCCAAAATCATTTACTAATGGCACTTCCAACGCTTTTGCCAACTGACGAGCTGATGCAACAAACCTGAGGCAGAATCCAATATATAATAGTTTAAATACATCTGACATGAAATATATGAGGCACAGAATATTCATCACCAACTATAATGTAATGTAAAAACCCATATCTACTACTTCAGAGGTCACTCAGACTGGGGCTCTACTTAGACATTCAAAGATGGATCAAAAGATCTACACCAAGCAAAGAGACGAGGGGATAATGTTGGGCTGACAACGAAAGATACATGCACACCTTTCATTGCAACAAAACTCTATAGTTATTGAAAACACTGCTAATCCTTCATGACTAAACATCCCTCTGACCACCTCACTGGATCAAACTAATTGAGTGCAGAAAAATGTAACCATTCACAACACCAATCCTTTGTGCGTAGACATCCCTCTTCACTGGATCAAACTAATTAAGTGCAGAAAAATATGCCATTCATAAACAAAGAAAGTAAGCTTTAACCAGGACACCAGAAAATTTTAGTTGCCAGATACAAACCACTAATAACTTGAACAAAAACCGCATTTGCAACAGTTTTTTCCTCCTATCTGAGCTCCCAAATAAAAAAAATTGTCTTCTAAGAAGCATACGTGTGTGTAATGGCTGGACAACCCAAACCAGGGTTGATCAGATTCACACGTACTTGTATATATGAGCACTAGCTAAGATTACAACCTGTACCATATTTACAAAAAACCCTACAGTAGTCAGTATACTATTACCCTCTTTCAAATTCATATGTCACAACTACAATAATGGAATAAGTTTTTCCTATAGTTTCTCATTTCTGCCATTCAACAGAATGACTACTTATTCTCTATGTCATATTTTCTTCTGTAAATATTTCATTTCAGTTTTATCCTTCTTATCCAAAAGATATACGCCCCCGTCCACATTGTTAGTCCTTTCTAATTAGGGACGTCCCCAAATATCCTCTTTGAAAAGTCAAAGAATAAAAATTTATAGTTTTCCGAACTATCCCTTATAAATATCTATGAATAATAAATTTAAGAGTGAGAATATAGGTGCGATTCAGGAAACTGATGCCTTTTGATTTGAATTGAATGCATCAATTACATGTCTCCTTAAAAAGTTGGAACTCTCGAAGGTATTAACATTGTGGGATGAAAGGAGTACTACATTTGTAGAAATTTAGTTCTATTACTACCATTTAATTTATCCAATAATATCTATTGGCATTTATTTTTAATCATCAAAATAGGTAATAACTATATTTCCCTTACCAGGATGGTTATTTATACCATCTTTATTCTCCAACTTATCCATCATCGTAATAATGTCTTGTTAAATTTTAAGAGACAATAATCACTTTCTTCTGCAAGTGCAAAAACAAATACAGTTGGAATAAAACGATACGTCCTTTTAGAGAAACAAAAGTTATTTTTGAAGTGGAAGAACATTTTTCTCTTCTAGTGATATCATTCACCAGTTTGGACTGTTGGTTAGGATTTACCCATATCTTTGATTGGGTATTACAATTTTCTTTTGATTTTTAGGGGGAAAAAACACACATACATGCACTGTAGCACTTAGGACAGAGAAGTCCTAACCCACACTTTCTCCACTTTTTCCAAAAGGGCCACTATTTTCCATTCATATCTAATTCAGGATGTGAAGATTTCTCTCCAAATTTTATACAAGTATCATTCATTAAAGTTAATCTATACTTCTTCATTGTGATATATGATTTTAACCAAAAACTTGCTTGTGAACTAATACAGAAGTAAAGAATAACTTTCTCAATCATTTTCAACCAAATGAGTTAGTGCATAACATCAATGTCTTTTCTTTTCTTTTCTTTTCTTTTCTTTTTTTTTTGGTGGAAAATTACAATGACCTCCCAAGGTTTTTCATAATGAAATAAATAATACTAATAGCATGAGACTGAGGATTAAGCTAAAAGGTTATTTATTCACAACAAAAGAACATGAAAGACCTGAGTGAATCGTCAAATAGAATTCAAAAAACAAAGGGCAGTAAGAACAAGCTCCAATGCCCAGACCTTATATGGTTACAAGTAACATTGGGATAGAGAACTCACATATTACAGTTATTTTGTAACTCTGGCACAGACAAATTGGGTGATGCATTCTGAGTAGCTGCCTGGTACTTCTGAGCAGCAGCCCCAAGTTGACTAACCTGTAGAATACAATCTAGAACTGTCAAATATAAATTATACGAGACAATACGAGACAATTGGCAAGAATGGCATTATGATCCTGACATTATTTACAAGATCCAGGCAGAAATACAAAAGTCTACTCTCGCAAAAAGCAATACTTGTGCAGTTATGTGTCAAAAAAAAAAAAAAGAGTGACCTAGACCACCCAATGAAAATAAACTACGCCAGAAAAATCAATGAGATCTCAAATATTTTATAGCCACATCCAGGTATAAGATGGAAGCAAATACCCAACCAAATCCAATAATCAGATAACTCCTCATAAATATGATTGGGATCTGATCCACTAGGTAATCATCCAATACAAATATCTGAGCTGCTTTTTATATCTACCATACAGAACAACACACACATAAACAAAAAGTTAAACCAATAATTACACCTTGCAGTTACAAACATTTTTTTTTCCCTTCAGCTAGCTAAATCCCTATTCAAGATGAGTAATAAGGAGGGAGAACTAAAGGCAATTGCACAGAAAATGGTACAAAAGATTGGTCATGTTATTAGCTCTCAAGACCATAATCTCAGTGACTTGCATAAAACTTCTTCATATATTCTTTAAATTTTGAAAACAATAGTTAGCCACCAACAAGGGAAAAAGTCCAAATTAGATTGAACTCTTATTTAAATTGGCTGGCTAGTGGCCCATAAAATGCATGAGATATGCTGCTTAGCAAATGCTAAAATAGCTGCATATATATATATATATTACTTTTTAGGTCCTTCTAGACTAAAAAGCCTTGAAAAAAAAATTTAAAAATAAAAAATATATATATGAATATATAATAATAATAATAATAGTTATTATATAATAGTTATAATGTTATATATGAATCAAGACAAAAGGACAGACGGAAGAGAACCGAGAGAGAGGAGACAGAAGCGAGACGATCGCGATCAGAAGCGAGAGAGAGGGAGACGATCGCGATCGCAAGCAAGAGAGAGAGGCGAGAGAGAGAGCGCTCTGCGAAAGCAAAGGCGAGAGAGAGCTCGTCGAAGTCGAAGGGGCTGGATCGTCGATCGAAGTTGAATGGGGCTCTGGATCGTCGATCGAAGTTGAAGGGCTCTGGATCGTCGCCGACCAGGTTTGTCCTCATTTTCCCTTTCATTAACTCTTCTCGCCGTGTCCATGGTGTGTCCAGATTCTGGACACGCGTGTCCCCTGCAAAAAAATAGATTAAATTAAGGGGACACGCCAGATGCCGTGTCCCGTACGTGTCCCCAGCGTGTCCCCGTTTCCGACACCGCCACGGCTTCTATTTTGCCGTGTCCATGCTTCATAGCCCATACCCGTGTCGTGTCGTGTCGACACGGGTACCTCCCAAAAATGAACGAGTCCGTGTAACGTAGATTGTGATGTATGATTTTAACCAGAAACTTGCTTGTGAACTAATACTGAAGTAAAGAATAACTTTCTCAATCATTTTCAACCAAATGAGTTTGTGCATAACATCAATGTCTTTTCTTTTCTTTTCTTTTTTTTTTTTTGGGTGGAAAATTACAATGACCTCCCAAGGTTTTGCATAATGAAATAAATAATACTAATAGCATGAGACTGAGGATTAAGCTAAAAGGTTATTTATTCACAACAAAAGAAGAACATGAAAGACCTGAGTGAATCGTCAAATAGAACAAGCTCCAATGCCCAGACCTTATATGGTTACAAGTAACATTGGGATAGAGAACTCACATATTACAGTTATTTTGTAACTCTGGCACAGACAAATTGGGTGACGCATTCTGAGTAGCTGCCTGGTACTTCTGAGCAGCAGCCCCAAGTTGACTAACCTGTAGAATACAATCTACAACTGTCAAATATAAATTATACGCGACAATACAAGACAATTGGCAAGAATGGCATTATGATCCTGGCATTATTTACAAGATCCAGGCAGAAATACAAAAGTCTACTCTCGCAAAAAGCAATACTTGTGCAGTTATGTGTCAAAAAAAAAAAAGAGTGACCTAGACCACCCAATGAAAATAAACTACGCCAGAAAAATCAATGAGATCTCAAATATTTTATAGCCACATCCAGGTATAAGATGGAAGCAAATACCCAACCAAATCCAATAATCAGATAACTCCTCATAAATATGATTGGGATCTGATCCACTAGGTAATCATCCAATACAAATATCTGAGCTGCTTTTTATATCTACCATACAGAACAACACACACATAAACAAAAAGTTAAACCAATAATTACACCTTGCAGTTACAAACATTTTTTTTTCCCTTCAGCTAGCTAAATCCCTATTCAAGATGAGTAATAAGGAGGGAGAACTAAAGGCAATTGCACAGAAAATGGTACAAAAGATTGGTCATGTTATTAGCTCTCAAGACCATAATCTCAGTGACTTGCATAAAACTTCTTCATATATTCTTTAAATTTTGAAAACAATAGTTAGCCAGCAACAAGGGAAAAAGTCCAAATTAGATTGAACTCTTATTTAAATTGGCTGGCTAGTGGCCCATAAAATGCATGAGATATGCTGCTTAGCAAATGCTAAAATAGCTGCATATATATATATATATTACTTTTTAGGTCCTTCTAGACTAAAAAGCCTTGAAAAAAAAATTTAAAAATAAAAAATATTTTTTTAAAAAAAATCGATAAAGACACAAAAAAAGAAAGAAAGGGCGCCTTTTGTTTTTGGTTTTGTGAACTTTTTCCCAAATTTGGTCCGTTTTTAAATAATAAAAAAATTAGGGCTTCTAGTGGAGTAGGACCCAAAATGTTTTTATTTAAAAAGAGTTACTAAAAATCATTTTCCAAGCAATATAATAGAAAAACACAATTAATATTGATATATACAATATAGTTATTATAGAAATAACCACAAAATGAAAAAACAGTAGTATATATCCACATATACATACTTTACGCCATTATAGTTATTCTTAAGGCAACGGCAGATGGTACTTGTAATTAGCAAAAAATTGGGCAGAATCTGTTTTATCCCTTATGGTTTGCCCTTGAAGCACTTTACTCATGACTTTTAAATATAGTGAAATCACCCGTGTGATTTTGAACTAAAATGCAATATTAACTCAGTTAACGTAGGTATAAAATGACCTTGATACCTTCTTTGTCTTCTTCATCTAAAAGTGATCAAAGCTCAAAACCTAGGCATCAATGGCTGCCCAAGACACAGATTTCTTCATCACAAAAAGCTAAAAGTTCTAAACAACTTCTATTTCTTCTTCCTAGAGAAATTACTCTCATGTGGTTTTAAACTAAAGTGCAACATCCTCCGTTCCTCACACTTCCAAACGCCCCCAACCCAACCAAGCCTTCTCTCTCTATCATGCAAAAAAGAGTTTCTAATGTTAGAGCCTCCTCTCTCTCCTCTGCCGCAATTTCCCTCTTCTTCTTCCCCATTTTGTGTTACGAATTGACTCTTCCTAAGCAGGATCGATGAGTCACAAAATAACAAATAAGAAAGATAAAACGAATCAAACAAATCTCACACACAAGAACACAAGGATTTATGTGGTTCACTCCAGAATAGTGCTACGCCCGCGGTTGTTGCGGTTTTCACTATGATTAGAAAACAATACAACTCTCTTACAGAAAAGAAGTGCCCCATTAATCTATTTATAAGTACAAAATTAGGGCAACGCGGAAGCAACTGGGAAATTACCAAAGAATCCAAAAAAATCGGGCCCCCCCAAACCCCCCATTGGACTCAGGGTTTAGTGAATAGTACTTATTAGGATCCACAAGACCCAACATTTTGGTCCCCACTCACTCCAACCACCTCCACCATAACCTCGGCCTACCCCCCACAAGCCCCCCCCCCCCCCCCCCTCTCTCCCTCTCTACCCCACCTCTAATAACCTATTTAGTGTTTAAAACAAACTTAAAGGATCCTTCAAGGCCAACTTTTTCGTCAAAGCCCGAGATCATCAAAAATGTAGAAGTCTTTGTCAATCACCCCTCAACAATTGTCAAAGATGATCAAAGCCCTAGCCTAATGCCTTTGATTTCCCTTTGTATTTTTTCCTTGTCGTCATCTACCCCTTCCTCCGCGATCTTGGAAGAAGATCGAAGCCCTACATCTGCAAGAGGCTTTTGCAAAGGGATATATTGTTGGGTCATGAGAAGTGCCCTTGCCGACAGCTGGCGTCTAACGAAGAGAGCAACAGTCTAGCATTAGGTTGCCGAGTGAAAAGGCATTGGGATATCAAGGGCAGAAGACTCTTGTCAAGAAAGGTTTTGCCGATATTATAGCATTGATATATCATGTGGGGTAGCAAAACTATAATTACATCTTAGCACGTGCAATTTCAAAAATTGAAAAACCAAACATAACTTCAATCATCGATAACCAAATTTCTTCAATAGCAAGCTTTCTACTACATCATTCTAGTTATTAGTAAGGGTGATAATAAAGAAAACAAATGCATATAGGCAATGTCATTATTGACATTATCAATTTGCATATAAAACAAAAGGGAAAGAACAAACATGTAAGTATGCATAATAGGAAAATATGGAATAGGAATATATGAATGAACAATTGATAATTGTAATAAATAGCTACAGTTAATAGAAAAATGGAAAGGAATATAGCTTAGTTTCTAATCCTTAATCTAACACTAAAGACAAAAATGGAAAAAGAACAATCAGATGACAAAGAAAACAATACACAACAGTAATTTTGCAGTAGTAGACATGCATGAACAACGTTATTATTGTAATTGACACAAGACACAAGGGCAAAAAAGTAATATTTGTAGATTCATAATTGTGGCCAATTCTATAAATAAAGGTATGTAAACTAAAACTTCGGTGCCATATGAGAATGAATGTCTATTTCAATAACATGAAAACAAATATATGACCCAAGATGTCTTGTTTTAGAAATCTTTTAATACACATTACGTGATGTGAGTTGCATTCACAATCATGTTGGACATTGCTCCTACTAAGATAATTCACATCATAGGTGGTGTTGGCGGGTGCCCGAGAAGTGTTGTTTTGTAACTAAGAAATTTCACTTTCAAATTATGACATGTCTACAAAATTCAAACTGATTTGAAGGAGTGTCTGGGACAAGTCCATAAAACATATAGGCAGAATGGCATCTTTGCAATTACAATGAAGTCAGGAGCAAAATATAAGGACAGAATAAGTTAAGGGCTAAAAAGGAATATATATATAACATGTCTAATAAGAGAACGTACTGAAACAGCATTTTTACTTGTAGAATGTCTAAATTTATGTCTGTAACTAAAGAAGCATAGAAACACAAACTAACTACAAGTCCATACTTCCAAGCATAGCATGTGTACTTTAAAAATCAAAAGAAACAAGCAACTCATTTTATGAAGGGAATTTAACTCAACCTGAGGAATTAACAATCTTCGAGGAATGAGCTCTTCATGACGCCGAGCACAAAACTCCCAAGAGCATATCTAGCAAAGGAATGGAAGAAGCAGCAGAAACAAGTAAACAATTGACGCCTCTTAAAAGTATATAGTTCTTGAAAACAACACTAGCCATAGGTAACCTTCAGGTCTGGAGAAAAAACTATCCGAAGTTGACCATCTCGGACAACACGAAGTTGGTCGAAAACGCTTTCCTGTATGGCTTTTGCATAGTCCAGGACAATTTGACCAGAGTTGTTCTGATATTCTCGAGGCATATCAACATAAAGAAGTTCTTCCAAAGTTCCACTCTCATACTTGATTTTGAAAAGCCTCGGCAGAACCTCGACAGTTGCCTCTGAAAGTAAACAGATTTTAGATACTGCTGTAGAAATACAAATAGCTAACATGGTGCAAGAGAGTAAAAGGAGAACAGTGGCAAAAACCAAGTTGCAAATGGATCTAAAAGGCAATGGGAAAATATAAACAGTACACAAATTTAAAGCATTTAAGGGGCGGACGGACTGCCAAAAGTTCTCTATGTGAAAACAGTTTCCAAAACCTAGCCACGAAAACATACCAAATCCACGTCCAGGTTTGCGATTACATATTTCGCAGTGCCATACATCCTGCAGAATTCCAAACACACTTAGTTTACATAATGTTTAACATAGATAAGCAATCAAAAAATCCAAAGATCTAAACATAACATCTATAGCTCTAGGAACTTCAAAAAATAAGCCGCCATACTAGGAAACAGTTACTATGAGCCATTAGGAACTATTTATTAAAAGAATCAACTAAGATTTGATCAACTGGAATGCGATATCCCTAATATGGCAAAGTCCTGCTGCGTGTTTTTAAACAGCACACCTGAGGGAACACTCCAGTTTGGCGGCCATTTCCATACATAGAAACACACCATTTCTTCTTGGCATTGGGAGCAAAGAATTCGGTAACAAATTTTCTCCAAAACTCAATATTGTTGTCCTGCACGAAAAGTTATCATAGTCATAACATGTAACAGTAACAAAATATCTACATTTACAACAGATTTTTTACAGGAAAGAAACCCTACCTCAGGTCGGTGTTGTTGCTCATACATATAACGCGTCAGCCGCCGGGCACACATACCAGGTTCATGTACTGGTTTTACTGGGGACCTCATAGGCAAATTTTGCGGTTGAAACGGTGACTGTGATGGGGACCGCTGTAGAGGATGAGCCTTTAAGGCAAGCTGTTGCTGCTGTTGTTGCATCTGCAGAAGTCTCTGTTGATTCATAAGATTAATCTGGGCAGCAGCAGCCTGAGGAGAATGTCGGGACATGTGGAAAAACTGTTGCTGTTGTTGTTGTTGCTGCTGTTGATGCAGAAACAGTGGCTGGTCTGAATGTTGGGGTTCCATCTTGATAGTTGCCAGATTTCTCATGGACTGAATTTGTTGGGGTTCCAGTTTTACATGACCAAGATTTCTCAATGAATGCAATTGCTGTGAAGGCTGTGTGTGATGATCATTTGTCACCTGTGGTTCCAACTTGACAGGTCCGACGCCACCTAATCCTCCCCGAATTGATTGATATTGCTGCTGCTGCTGCTGGTTGTTCTGAGAGGCAGAAAACTGTTGCATCGGCTGCTGATTATGCTGGAAGTTTTGAGGGTCAATTTGTTGAGACTGTTGTTGATCTGGCAACATCTGATTGCCTGAAGAGTTTGAAAATTGCTGCCCCTGCACTGGACCTGAAGAACCGGGGTTTGCCATATTTGATGGCACAAATGATGAGGGTGCAGAAGTAAAACCCATTCCATTTCCCACATTGGAGATCATATCAGGCTCAGCTCCAGTATCAATAATTCCTCGCTGACTACTTCCAGAACCAGAAAGCCCAGGATTTGGACCTCCATTTCCAAAAGACTGATGAAGGAGGGATGAAACATTGGACACATTGCCAAGCATATTACCGTTATTAAACTGTGTACGGGGAGATACAAGAGAGGGAAAAGCACCCTGTGAAGGCATTGCACCCCCTTGAGCACCCAATAAACCAGAATTTGATCGCAGTACCGAAGGTACAGGCTGGGCACCACCAATTGGAGTGGGAGGCCCCGATGGTACCATATTATCGAAAGCAGAACCTACAAACACTTATTCAAGTACAAAAACTATCTAAAAGGGCATGAATTCGGCACTCAGTGCCACTAAGATTGAATACACTACAATTACACAACAAACCGGACAAAAGCCAATATCTTGATCAATCCAACAAGCGTTCTGCACTCATTGCCAAGGGTAGACATTCCAGACTCTTTATTGTGTGCCAATAGAAATGGAAAGCCTTTGTGGCCGAGCTTACGGTGTTGAGCGTTACCAAACACAAGTCGGTTGCCAAAGAAAAGCAGATACAAGCAACAAGCTTTGGTCCTGTACATCCTAAAATTGCCTTAGCTCTGCTAAAGGAACAATCTTCGACCCACTTTCGCTTAAATCTCTGCATAATTTGTAACTCATTAGACGAACTTTACCAAAATTTGTAACGCATTTAAAAAAGAAAAAAAGAAAAGAAAAAAAGAAGCAACCAAATAAAGAAACCAAACTTCGACAATCAAATAGAGCTCCTGAATCTTCCAATGCCCTCATAGAGTGACTCAAAACCCTCCCCAGAAGCATCAAAAGAAGAATTTGAACAGATACGAATCCAAATCTCCAAAATTCCCATACCCAACTAAAAAAACCAAAATTCAACAACCAAACTAATGGAAACTAAAACATAATGAACAAGAAAAGAAAAGGAAAAAAGTCAACTTAATCACACTAGCAAGATAAAAAAAATCAATATTTATACCCAAACAAACAAATTCAAACGAAACAACATTATAATATAAGGAACACTGAAAAAAAACAAAACAGTGAGTTGAAAAAGTAACAGAGAACCTCTCGATCGAGCCCTAAATTGTGCTAGAAATGTACAATGGTCGATCCAGAACTGAGATGAGTGAAAAAACCTAGGGCTTTAAAGTTGGAGCAGAAACTCGGAATAGAAACACTTGACAAAGACATGTGAGAAAAGACTACTTACCAAAACAAGAATTGACAGATAGTTTCTGAAAACTGCGATCGAACAAAACACACGCACTTCAACTGATGAAAAATTGAAGACAATCCACTATTACTCTTCAACTTGCTGACCTTCTTGGCATTAAATACACATATACGTGCATCTATATATATATATATATATGTCTAGGGTTTGTTTCTTTGAATTTATCTTCTTCGTCACAGTCTTCTTGAATGAATCTCTATCAATCTCATTTGAGTCCCTTTGCTGTAGATAGAGAAAAAGGGAGGAGAGAGAAAGTGCTTTCCTGTTCTTCGCTGTATCTTAGAGAGAGAAAGTTTAGAGAGAGAGAGAGTGTGTTCTCTCCTTGCGGACGTCAAAATTGCATTCGATTGGATTGAATTTTCTTCATTCCTTTCTTTACCTTTTCTTCACTGACATGAAACTAATGAAGTCAAATCTTCTTCACTTGTATTATGTTATGTATGTATGTTATGTCTCATCATCATCATCATCATCATCATCCTCATCATCACCGTTCACCGCCTTGACACGGTCTCTACGTGGTGCTAATAACAATTGACCCACCATTTCTTTTTAATTACCAAAGTGCCCCGATTTGGTACATGTCGCGACGTTAGCCTATTTTGGAAATTTGGTTAAAAATCACTTTTCACATTTAGGCCAAGTTTTGGAAGACTAAAAAAGTGCACTTTTTGTCTTTTTGGACTAAAAAATTAAGGTTGAAAATATGAATGTTTGGGTTAACTTTTTGACTTTTTATTGAAAAATGTGTAATAAAAAATTGTAAAAATTGATTTGTAGGGAATTGATTTGTAGGAAAAAATTTGAATTGGGAATTGTGCCGCCGTAATTGTTGACTTTTGGTGAATAGTGTTAACTTTTTAACTTTTTGAGTAACTTTTTGACTTTTTAACTTTTTTTGAAGTCCCCAAACTTGGCCTTAACTTCACTTTTCTCTCTCACACAAAATAAAAAAAATTAAAAAATAATTTTTAACTATCTTCTCAAAACATTCCAAATTACAATTATATTTTCCTAAAATTTATTTAAGATACAAATAATTCTAAAAATTACATTTAATCTCTTCAAATTTATAATTATATAACAAATAATTCATTTGATTAATAAATTATCAAATCAATTAACAATTTTTAATGAAGTTAGAAATTTATTTTAATTAACAATTTAGATAATTTTATTCTTATATAAGAGAGTAGTTAGGAATTTTTTTTTGTTAATTATGTTAAATAAATTTTTTTATAAGGGGTATTTAATTTATATTTTAAACAAATTTTAAAAGTGTATTTATAATTTAGCTTAATATTTAAGAGGTTTAGGAGAAATTATCAAGTTCCCACTTTTTTTATTTTTTTATTTTATTCTATTCCAACTTTAATTATTAGTAGGAAGATATACTATTTTTTGTCTTTTATTTTTTAAATAAGATGATCATTTGCGTGGAACTCATTGGAAAATTTCCCAATAATTATAATTCATGTTTAGTGCACTTTATATGATTTTTAATAATTTTTTAAAAGAGTTTGGTGTAATATTTTTTATAATTTATTGGAAAATTTCTCAATAATTATAATTCATGTTTAGTGCGCTTTATATGATTTTTAATAATTTTTTTTAAAGAGTTTGGTGTAATTATAATTCATGTTTAGTGCACTTTATATGATTTTTAATAATTTTTTTAAAGAGTTTGGTGTGATATTTTTTATAATTTATAAAATAAAATAAAATAAAAACAATTTAAATAAGATTAAAATAGCTTTAGAGGTGTTTCCGAATCAAATTGGTCCAATTTTAAAGTAAATTAAAAACCAAATTAGTCTCTATAATTTTAAAAACAATAATTTAAAACTGTAATCAAATTGTTAAACTTACTTAACTTGAGCGTTGTACTGAAGGCCATTGATCTCTATAATTTTAAAAATAATAATTTTAAACCATAATTAAATTGTTAAAATTACTAAATTAGACCATTGCGCTGAAGGTCATTAAGGTATTATGTGATATTATCTCCCATCAATAACAAATATATATATCTTTTATTTTTTAAATACCCAATATAAGGCCAAGTTTGGAAAGAGTAAATAAGTGCACTTTTTGACTTTTTATGAAATATGGGTTGAATTTGGGTTGGATTTGAAGTGATGTATTAGAAAGGTAATGTGACTTAAATAAGATGATGTAACTTAAATAGAAAAGTGATTTTTTGACTTTTTAAATTTTTTTGAAGATGCCAAACTTGACGTAAATATAAGAGTCCCTATTATCAAAATTAATAACAATAATAAAAGATATCATATAACATCTATCTGCGTAAAAAAAATTACACATTAACTGCTGTTGACCTAACTGAAGGCCATTAACTACGGTTGACATAAGTTTTGTGTAATTCTTGAGCTTGTTGACCCTACTAAACCCATGCTTGAATGATTAGCTTTAGGACGTGTTTGGAAGTCCATGCTCATGAAAATTCTATTTAGATTTTATGTAGCATATTCAATGAATATTTATTATCTTCAATAAAATTATTAATAAAAAAAAAATGACCCTGGATTTGATAATGATTTTTTTAACATCTTATTTTGTTGACTTTTTTTTTTCTTTCTCTTTCTTTTTTTTTATAAATATTTTTCATTTTTAATTCCTACTTACCAAAAAACAATTTTAAAAAAAAAATTCATCTAAAGACATAGTGAACTTTTTTTTTTTATTTTTATTTTAGATTCTTTTAAACAAGAATATAAAAATAAGTTTAAAACTAATAATTCTTTAAAGATAAAATTTTAAAAAATAAAAAAGAAGAAGACCTTCTTTAACTATTACCGAACAGAAGATGGTGAAATATGTTTCTAAGGATAGATAATCATATTTTTGATAAGCAATCTAAGTAATAATTATTTATCTTTTTATTCAAGGTTATATCTAGATTTTAAATTTGTTGATAGGTTTGTAAAAATTATATTTTATTTCTTTATATTTTCTTTTTACAAATTTAAGATAATCTAAAAACCTTCATGAAAAATAAAATAAAAAAATAAACCTTATTGGCCATACCAAACAAAGCCTCATGAACTGTTTGGCAATAAGGGGCAATTTCAAACATTAATTTATCCAGATCAAACAAGTGCGATATGTGGGCAATATTCATCATTGGAAATGATTCTACTATTTGAGAATCATAACCACACGCGCTTGAGCCACCTGTCAGATCAGTGGCAATCTTGTAATTCATCCCACGTTTTTTCATTGGCAATTTTGATGTCAGCGGTGCTACCTACACTAATTAATGTATTAACACCAATTAATTATGATATTATTATTGACTTCACTCATTATATAAATTATAAATATTAAAAATATTTTAAATTATATCATATCATCAATTAGTAAAATTAATTAATATATATAACATTATTCTTTTGATACTGTGCTATCTTTTTGATAAATATTTGTCAATAGTTAATTATAAGGTGGAGCATATCTTGAATTTTTTAACTAGAAAGTGTTATCGGATATTAGTGAGCCTATTACAGAGTTGATATTTATGATCACAATCGCACAATGTGTAGGATTTATCGAATATTTTATTTTCATAAAAAAATTATGTTAATTAAATATCGGTAGTCACTTAATCATATTATATTTATGTCAACAAGTTATTTTTAAAATTATATTTACTAGTGATCTAAATGTGATCTGATCAAGTGATTATTGATATACAATCAACATAATTTTTTTGCAGAAATAAAATATATTCTGAATTTTACACATTCAACAGTTTAAATCATCTATGATACTTAGCCTCTGTTTGGCAAGATGGTTTTCAGGCTTTTTTGGCTATTTTAGCCACAAAAAACAAAATAGGCTATTTTAGCCATAACAAACAAAACATCACATCCAACCCATAATCATTACATTCTTCTCTCACAAAAAAAGCCAAAAAAGCCAAAAAACCAAAAAGCCCTTCCCAAACCAAACTTTTTAGCCCAGGCTAAAATAGCCAAAAAAGTCAAAAAGCCAAAAAGCCAACCCACTTCCCAAACGGAGGCTTACTGATACTGATGGGTATCTAAGAGGGCTCAACCCACGGCTCAGGGCTCAGCTTACGGCTTAGGTATTAAAGCCCGGTAACCTTGAGAAGCCAATACTGAACCAGGACTAATAGCATTCAAACACTTGTCAGGCAGGGAATTAGCCACGTAAACAAACAAAGATCCTGCAAAGTTATTGCACACACACATCAGCTATTTAATAAGGCCCTCGTTGTATTAAATATGGCAACCCATTTACGTCGGATGATGCAGACTCATCATGAACGATGTCAACTAGGTCATATGCTTTCGGCCAATAAGACAACTTAGAATGGACAAGGAAATGAAGAATGGACAAGGAAATGATGAGTAAAAGATATAAGGAAGCTTTCAAGATAACTCGAGGTTAAGTTTTTTACCCCCTTGCTTCTCTCTCTCTCTCTCTCAAATCAATCTGTCATAACCTAACTTGATCGTCGGAGTGTCTGTCAAGGGATTACGTTCCCCTTTGGACCTTTTTGCAAGTACGCTTTGAGTACACCAAGGCCAGCAGACCCATTAGAAGTGTGGATCAGTTCGACCAATCTTTCATTGAAGTTATTGCATTATCAATCTATGTAGAATTCGACCCGTCTTCCATTAATGTTATTGCATTATCAATCTATATAGATTCCATGATGAGACTCTCCAATTTGATATAAACGAGAAAGCAACTTCCCTTCCCTTATTATACTACTATCTTTGTGACAAATTATAAAATATTAAAATTTGACAGGTTATTTCTAAATCTATCAATAATATTTATATGTATTTTTTTTGTAAAAAATAGGGGGACATATTTTACATTATTAAAAATAGAGGTGATTATGGACCGATCAATCTGCCCAAATCAATCGACCCGCTTTTAAGTGGTTTCAATAATATAGGCAGGAGGATGTAAAATGGAGATTTTTCAAGTCAACTTATATTCAGGCGAATGGTGGATGAAAGATCACCCAATCCAACCCGATTCGTCAAACCTCCTAAAAAAAGTAATTTTATATTTTTACACTTTGTATGTTTAAAAAAAAAAAAATTAGCCACCACCACCACTCACCCGCCACCACCCACCGTCACCACTTTCCACCACCGTCTTCCGCTGCCACTTGCCACCACTTACCATTTCTCACTCTTTTTTATATTTTTAAAATTTTTTAAACATTTAGTCAATTACCAAACACGTTTGTAGTTTATGTTTTTCTAAAAATAAACAAAAAATAAACAAAAACCAGTTTATAAAATTTTTGTAAATATAAACTGAAAACGTAAACGTTACCAAACACACCCTAACTATTTATAAAATATGAAAAAATTGTCTTTATTTTAATTACTATAAAA